ACACACACACACACACACACACACACACACACACACACACACACACACTTTCTGGTTCTGCAAAGGACTGCTAGAACTGAAGAAAGGGACATTACCTCATGGAACCTGAGTTTTGACTTCAGAGCTTCAAGCATCCGCAGACTCTCTTCTTGTTGCATTTCCTTTGTGGCCAGAAGCCTCCTCAGCTCATCTTTCTAGAAGAGAGCAACAGTCACTGCTATGGGGAGCCAGAAATATCTGATTCTCTTTCTGGGATAATATACCTTTATAGATTTGATGTACACAAATATCCCGCAGTGTATAGCTAAAGTTATTTGAGACTTAACATATGCTGCCATTACATAAATCCTGGTGTGTTGGCACAATTAACCCAAAATGTTTTTAAAGCACCCCTTCCCATTATTTTATTATTTTAGATCTATTGGGCAATTCCATCTCCATCCAAGGAGATGGAAAAATGTTTTCCTTTCAAGTTAATGAGAATGAACAAAAGAAAGAATTTCCTTTTTTACCTCAGTTTCAAGATCATCAGCAACCATTTGCTCCTAAAAACAAAACAGCACACATATTCAGATATTTGAAATTATTGTTTCTTCTATCATTCATGAATGGTTAGTGCTATAATTCACCTGGCAAAGGATACTTTTCTTCTGTATTTCATATATTGTCCCAGAGTTGGCAAAAATATTCTCTACACAGACTTCTTCTGCCTTGCATTCATACCCCCACAAAAATAACCACAAGAACTAGAATTTTAGACAAAGGACAAATCCTGTCCTTTACAATGCCAACTCCTAGCAAATTTTCTGACAGTTTAAAGAAGCCACAATTCTGAGGCCAAAGTTGCCAAAGAGAGAAAGCAAGAAAGAGATCAGCCTCTCTGAAATTACCTTCCTTCCTTCCACATAATAAAGAAAAGCTTAATAAAGCACATCAATTGACTTGGAAGCCATGCCAGTACTGCTTCTTTTTAAAAATACTGTTCTGACACAAGAGGTAGAACAATCAATCAAAGCCAGAAGAACAACTATTTGGTAACAACAATATGGCTTGATCCCCAAATGCAGATTAGCATTTAAACTTGTAGATCACTCTGTTTAAAATGAAAAACCAGGGGAAATGAATACATCCCTCAATCTAATCATCACGAGAAGCATGCTGCAGAGGGCTGCCAGGGTGAGACCATAGCAATGTCTCCTGGCCTCAACTGCTAATTTATCATCCCTCTCCAGATGAAGCAAAGCTTCCCCTTGGGCACATTGGCCACTGCTGCAGCTTTGTCCCTGCTGCTGAAAGTGGTGCCAGATTCCAGCAATGGGGACTCCACTTCAAAAGGCAGACTGGGAACTCTTCTGTCAGAGAACATGCCTCAGAGTAAAAAAAATGTCATCACCTTTATTCTAACCATTCTTCAGAAAGGGATGGTAGGTAAAAAGAAAAAAAGAAAGGTAAATCTGGGGATTGAGGCTTGGTATTTTATACCAGCAATCTCAATTACATGTTTGTGGCACAAACTGGGGCTTGTTACCTCATTTAGCTGCAACTGCAATCCACTTATTCTGTCTAGTAAGATTCGCTGTTCCTGTTGGATTTCCCTCATTCTTCCTTTCAAGTCTTCGTTTTCTCTTTCTAATTCCTGGGAACAAAAAAATCTTAAAGTGAGGATGTCATCAGACATTGCAGCTAATCTTAGCTCCCTCCCCAAGTGAGATCTTCTCTTTCCTGTTTTCCTATTGACCACTTGCCAAGGGCAAAAGACCTGACTTCTCCCTGAAGCTACATCTGAGCAGAGGAAAACAGGACACTTCCCCCACCTCCTCACTGGCAGAAAGCAGCCAGTGATTTCAGTCTGCTGGCTGATTCATCCCCATCCCCCAAAATACTGGAAGTCATTTCTTTATATTCATATTTATATATTTTCCTGCCCTTTTTATTCTTTCTTTCCATTTTCTTTAACTTTTATTTGTATTAATTTTTTACTATTGTAATTAAAATTCTTAATAATTATAGTAAAAAAAAAACCTACATGCTATTGCAGAAAACTTTGCAGCACTGTAAGTAATATATTTTTTTATTCTGAAAGCAGCAGAGACACATAGAATTATTCTGGTTGGTTTGGCTAATGCAACAAGAAGACTGTGATGAACCCAGCGCATCTCTACAGGAGGCCAGTGGAATAAACAAGGCTGGGATTGCCTGTAATTCCCAATCCAGAAGAGGAGGTGCGGTTCTTACAGGGAATGTTTTGGAATCAATCCTGAATAACTGCGGAAGGAAGGTCTTTGCACTCATTTTTCTTTAATAAATGCTCTTTGAGAAAAAGAAGGGGAAATAGGGTTGGTGGGCTTTCCTCAGGAACATGTAAACCGATTGGGAAGCTGGCTCTGGTTACTTCAATACATCCTCAATTGATCTATGGAGCAGGAAAAGTAAAGTTTCCATAGACAGAAGCAGTAAACAACTCCAATTAAGATTTTGAATGGATCCTGAACGGTCTGGAAAGGATATTAGAGAAAGTATGATTAAAGCCTTGGCCCGGTTAATTCATTGGGAAGAAAAGACCCGCGACTTTGAAATAGATAAAATTTATAGAGTAAATTCCAGATTTGCTACTACAAGAAAATTATCAAGAAGAGTCTTAGTCCATTTTTTAAGAACTAAAATGGATCCTATTTTGGATTGCCACTTCAAATCTAAATTAAGAATGGAAAATGTGGATATATTTTTTTGAAGGAAATTCCTGTCAGAATCTTGAGAAAAAGGAAAGCTTATTTCTTCTTTATTGATATCCTGAAGAGGAAAATTCCCTTCTGCTGGGATAAACTTGAAGGAGTGATTACTTATCAAAAGCAAAGATTCAGATTGAATTGTACAGAAAAAGCTAAAGACTTCTTGATCATAAACTAATTTTGGACCCAGCTGGAGAAATTGATACAGACAAGCAACTAGAAGTAGATCGACCTCAAAAAGTCGACACGGAAGAAGATATGGCTGATATGTCCATACAGGAACTTACTACTTTATCCAAGCATGGATATTAGGTTTACAACATGGAATATTAACGGGAAAAATGCCCCATCTAAGCATTAAAATATTTCATTACTGAAGGAAACTTAATGTTGAAATAATTTGTCTTCAAGCACATATTAAGAAACAAAACAAAAAGTATTTAATAAATAAAAGACATCGGGAGGAATTTATATCTGCTGGTGTAAAAAAGATTAATGGAATTGCTTTATATATAAAACCCTGATTTAAAACTGTTACAGATGAACATGGTAAATTTGCAGAAATGGAAATTGAGTTTAATGGAATAAAAGCAATAGGTGGATTTTATCAAATGGTGATAAAAGTTATTTTTTTGAATATCTTATGGCTCAATTACTACCTTTTATGTGTGAAAATTGGCTTATTCTGGGAGATTGGAATGGGATGATTTCTCCAGTTTTGGATAGAACATCTATAAAGGTTTAAATTCTCCCATGGTAAACTACCAAAGACATTTTTTGAGATGATGATTAATTTAGCATTAACAGACACAAAGAAATGGCTCTGCTAGAGCATGTACTTTTTTTTCAGAATAATACAAGTATTTATCAGGGATTGATATGATGCAGATTCCTAAAATTCTTGCAAATAAAATCCTAAAAGTTGATATTTTACCTAAATCTTTTCTGATCATAATCCAGTTCTTCTGGTACTTAGAAAAAAGAATTTGAACTCTAAATGGAGTATTTAAAAATACTCATTTAATTTTTAAAAGGAGATTGTAAAGGACTGTAAAAAGAAGCTGAATGAATATTTTGATAATAATTTGGGTAAAGGAACAAATTTAATGATTGTGTGGGATGCCAGCAAAGCAGTTATGAGGGGTTATTTTATACAATGCTATCACCTAGAGAAGAAGAAAAAATCCCAGGGAAAGATGCAGAAGATATTTTACCCAAAAATTTTTTTCTTTCAGACGTTACCAATACTTGCAACTGATACTCCGTTTAAACAATGACAGAAGTCTATTTCCACATAGCAAGCGAAAACACCAAGAATTAGATATAAACTTTTGCATGATGCTAAACTGAGAAGGGGTTGATTCTAACAATTTCAAATTGTATTTTGATGCTTGATTCTTTTCCCCCTTTTCCCCACACTTCTCCCTTCCCTTAGTTTCTCATTATTTTTATATGGCTTTGTATTTTATATGTTAATAAACTAATAAAAAAATGGAACCCTCCAAATGAAAATTGATGCATTTGCTGCCATTACTTTTTCTCATGATTGTTTGATCAAATTTTAATATTCATTAGATATTTAATTTTGATTTGAAGGTCCCTTGAGAGGGTCTTAGAGGAGTCCTAGAACGAAACACTTCACAAAAACTGACCTAGACTAACTGTAATATAGTTACTAAAAATACATGTAAGGGTCTTCCTGTGGTGACATCATCGTGCTTGGAGCTGAGGAACGGGAGTTCTCCTAACCTCTAACTCTAACTTCTTCGTTTGAGCTCATTTCTGAGCGCTGTGGATCTTGAAGGGACCAGAAGATTAAGGGGGAAACTCTGAAGACGCTGGGGTGATAAGGCAAATCCCCCAGCAGGTAGGAGAAACNTATATATATTTAGCATGAAGTATACACAATCCTCCTTTTGTGGGTTGATTATTTATTTCTCATACCATCTCGCAAATTCATGCATGGCTGGCTTCTATGCATACGAATCATATAAGCCATACCAATCTAACAATATGGCCCAGAGACCCAAGTCAACTATGATGCACTACATACAGCATACATTTATTGAGTACGATTAGGGAAAAATCTGCAGCTTTAAGACTTGCCATCAAAATAAGCTGCTTTAATGATTCAAATCATTAAACCCATGGAAGAAAACATGCTTGTTTGTATAAGCAAGCATGTTTAAGGTCCAAAGCTCTTTTTCCATGCCCCTCTCTAAGTGTTCATAGCTCTACTGCCAAGCTTTTCCAATGACAGACTTTGTGATAATAAAAAGGGAGAAATTGCTTCATCCAATTTATAACTTTTTAAGAGAAGATGAATTTTATGTCAAATGTTAGAAATGCTCAGTGCCTATATTGAGATTATGTGCCACTTGCACTCTAAAACAAAACAAAAAATTAGTCTTTCCTTAATTGAACTGAAGCAAATATACTTGTTATGCTAAGCCTGGCATACTCTCCTTTTATAAGATATACTTAACTAACTCATAAGTCCCACTCAGACCTGACACAAGGCAGATATGCTGTGTGCCACTGCCCTTGTTTAATCAATCACTTTAATCTTTCGCCAGTGACTCAAAAGTGAAGAGACTGAATAATTTAAAAGAGACCAATTCTTAGCAGCTGAATTTATTAAGGCAAGGAATTACACTGTTTAAACAAAATAATCTCTAGAGATAGGGAAAGAACTCAATTAGTATTTAAGGCTAAAGATGCCATTTTGAAATAATTCATTTTAACTATTCTACTGAAACGTGAATATAAACCACTGTATATTCTATTTCTGGGTCCCAAATGCCCTAATATTTATCTTTCATAATTAAAAGATGAGAAACATGAACAGTTCCTTCCTTTCAATAAATCAGGAGGAGGAGGAGGAGAAGGAAGAAGAAGAAGTCACTGCTATGTAGGGGCACATTTTTGAAGAAGATAAAAACATATTCTCCCATGACTTGCTGTGTTATTAATAGTGCTACCAAAGTCATTATAATTTAATTTAAAGACACATCCAGCAGAGACACATGAAGAATGATTTAGCATCAGGGCTAATGTTGAAAATTGCTTGAATCTGGATATAATCACTCCTCAACATTTAAACTTGGGAGCCATCTTTTCAAAGTGCATGTCTATATTTACAGAAAGATTCTGATCAATTGAAAAAATACATAGGAGGTTTATTTCTCTGTTTCATGTACATATTCAGTAGTAGGGTTCCAATTAGCCAGCGGGATCAATGATAAGAAATGCAATTATACAACATCTGGAATGGGCAATATGGTTGCCTCTAGCTAAGTTTTCCTGGGC